TAACAAATAGATATGCAACCTTCATTCGAAATTGAGGATTAAAAATAGTATTCTTATATTTAACTGTGAATAGAAATAAAAATGGAACTGATATTTTCGATCAATTAATCTAGTTAGTTATTAGCCAAATTCCAACCTATAGCTATATGCTTAATATGTTTAGTTATTTTATTTCTGTTGTAACTCTGACCTGTGTTTAATAAAATGAAATAAAAATGTAATTATCATTTGCTTATCGCTTGACAAATCCGTAATAAATGCTTTAAGCAATTGATATCCGTTTTCCACGGTCTTAATACCTACCGTTAGATTATTTAGTATAGTATAGTTAAACTACATAGTTGAAATTAAGGTCCTTCATTAAAAAATCCTTTTTTTATTGTTAAAGACGATGTTCAATATATATTTTTTTAATTTGAATAGGCCCCTCTGTACTCTATACTCTATGAGGATTTATATAATCTAACTAACCTCATAGTACAGAGTGCGTGCTTCTCCTGAGATGTCCCGCGGCCTTCTTCTGGCAGGTGACCGGATGTACATTCCTTTTACACGCATACCGTAATAATTAATTACATTCACATTTTCATATGCGAACAATAGTGCTCACATATCGAACAAAACCCAAGAAGGCGGTAGAAATGAATTTTCTATAAACCTAGTAAATTAATAACGTTTTCATGCAAATAATTCTAAAGTTCTTTTCGCCTCCTTTTTGACGTAATTCGTGAGATTACTTTACGTCAAAAAAGTTTTGATTTTCGATCGAATTGATGTTGAAATTAAAAAAAAAAATTAAAAAGAAGTAGTTTTAAAAATAGAACTGTGAATCAGATTTTTGACATGATTCCGAGACATTGTATCTGTGTTAGATTAAGATAACACGTTAACACAAGGGGCATTAACTCGCTCTTATACCATTGATGCGTTTATCTATTTATGAAATCTAAACGGGTCGTCGTTGTTTGGTTACATCAACTCTGATGACATTTCGTGCCGGAACCACTTTCGGAAACATTGTCAATGTTATGCAAAAAGAACACAATAATAGAAACCGCGCCGGCTCGCGTAGTAGCCGACAATTCGGAATTGATTAACGTAAATTAATTCAAATTCATTTAAGATGGCGGGTGTTGACATGCGCGCATGCGCACTCTATGGCGGGTCGACGCCACTCACGAATGCAAATGTACTGTTTCATTTTGTTTTATAGCCAGTGAAATGAGGAGAAAATTTTATGTAAAGACGATGCCGATTTCATTGAGTTTTTATATATTAGATTTTTAACTTGTCTATGCACTTAGCGACAGGGAAGAATGATAAGATTTTAGTTATTCACAATAACACTTCACAAAAAACAAAAAAATGGGCTGTTCTTTTAAATATTCGGCTCTTTTAAAAATCAAAGAAAGGTTCAGATGATATAATAAAATGTAAATGCTGCCAAATAATCACCCCAGGTTTGTGAAGCTCGAGTGCTAATAAATAAAGTAGAATATCACTATTTCAAGTATAGTTTTGCTATGTAACATGAGAGTATACAACTTAGGGGTTAGGGTTAGTCCGAATTTGAAGGAGTACAGTCACTCGTCTCACCCCACAGAACACGGAAAATGTGTTCTGTGGTCTCACCGAAATATGCTTTATCATATAGGGTATGCAAGGTATCATATAAAGTAAAAAGCATGGTCATCAAAACCTCCTCACTGAAATGTATTTTGTTGAATTTTTTTCTCCTTTTCCATTCTCCTTTTCCATATATAACTAAAGCATGTTCCTCAGCATTAGGAATATTAAAAAGAAACATTTATTATATGAAATATTCATTATTCTCGTGTTACATATACACATATGTATAGCAGAGTATCACTTCCGTTGGAATGTGTATAGCCAGTGGCCACTCCAGACATTCTCCTAGTGAAGTGACAGTTGAATCGCCTTGAGCTAGATATGGCCACTTATCGGATATTTAGTACTCAACATCTGGCTGCGAAACGGTTAGACATAACGTTTTGTTGAAACCAACTTTTTTTCTTTTTTTTTAAGATTTATTGATAGGGAACCTTCTCATCTGACATAGGCAAAGATGAGAACAGTATAATATACATATATTATACTAAACTAGCTGTTTTCTCTTTAATTAGGTACTCTATTTATTTTTTCAATTAAAGGAAAGTTTCAAGTTTTTAAAACAGAAAACATAAGAAACCACAGGACAGAAGACCGAAGAAGGGCTTTACTTATGCTAATTTTGTAATAGCAGTAATAAAATAAGGCAGTAGAATTCATTAACTACTGGTATATTTTATAAAAAATAGTATGAAAAAAAAACTGAATTTAAAAACGTGAGAATATTACTAAGGGACGAACCGCCACTTCGATATGAGCTGCTTTGAACATGAATTTTCAGATGACTATTATTTTGGAAAGTCCAAGTCTAAAGTCTGTGTAATTAGAAAAAAAAATCTTATTATTTTAGTGATATATAAAAATTTGATTTTGAGATAAATCTCCAATAGGGATTAGAATAGTTGTATATATACAGTTGTATATTACAATATATATATTGTATATATAAAAGTTGCACATAACAAAATTTGTAAGCACATTAGCGATCGATTACAATCTTATTTTATCGAACTAATTCACCCATTCGAATTATGATATAAATATATGAAAGTGGCACATAAGTTACGCTTATAGAATTACGTCGTGAAAGGAAAATAGTTTGATAAAAAAAATAGAAAGATTAAAATATTATTGTTTGTTCTATTTAATTTGACTATGCGAGTGAATGTTGTTATTACGAATTGCTCTAGTCAATAAATTGTAGGGTTGCCAAATGTATTTATATGTACATATTTTTTGTCGGCTTATTATTTGCTAAAAAAACAAACTTTTAATAACCTTATTGCTGTGGAACAGGCCTTCTCTATGGATTTAACCAACTGGAAACGGGTTATACTGAAGATACTACCGGTTGTATGACCTATACGGCAAGGGTATATCCTATAGTGGTTTTTGAAGCACGGAGAACCCGGAGATAGTAAAATAGTCACCTAAATGAACGGCACATGCGAAAGTTGCTTAACTTACCGAACGCTCCATCGATCTACTCGACATATTAAATAAAGTAATACTTATTTTCCAGACATAATAAAGGAGTTTTCAAATAGACAGATGGACGCTATTTGGGAATTATGTTTTGTGATAATATGAATTGTAAGAATTTAAATAATTGTATTTTTTTCATATTTGATATTTGTGAAATATTAATAGGGATATTACTATACACTTTTTTATATCGGGGACGTTAAAAAGTAAATTTATATCTATTACCAATATAAATAGAAGGGGCGTATCAAGGTCTATCCTACTTCTTACCTGCAGCTGTGCCTACAGCAAAAACTTTAACATGCACAGTACACATTTACTGCTATTTGTATGCGTGCTTACCTTATTAAGAAGGTACTATATTATATCACATTCACTCCTTCATCAACTATAATTAATAACTATAAATATAGTGAATTATATGAACCAAGTTTATACGTTTACAAAAATTAAGTAAACAAATTAGAACTCAAATTAGCGCCATCTAGTGACATCGAGAAATAATGAAACCGTGATGAATTTACCTTCTTGAATTATACCTAATTATTTCTTGTTTATTAAGGAACCCTAATAATAGTATTACCAGAGACGTACGACATGATATTTAAAGTGTATTAATAGTTTATTTGTAAACGTGAAAATTTTCTAAATTAACACATCGTTTGTAACTCAATATAAAAATAAATAATAAGATATATATTTTTTATTATTAAAAACAATTTAATTAAATAGTGTCTCACCTACTTACTCAATAGGAGATTATATATATATTTTTTTATGAATTTTAGTTTTTTGTTGTAAGCATTTACAGTTTTCGTAAATGTTTATCAAAATTTCAGCATTAACTCGCCCTTAAATAAATTTGCCCATTTTTTTTATAAATTGTATGTTTCAATGACTACATCCGAAGGTCTTTTTCAATAACATAGGATCTACGTCTGTATATAAGTAATTCACAATAAACTTATCAACCATGGTAGATTTGCGATAAAACCATTGAAGTATGTCCCGATGTTATTGCTGTTTTTATAAAATAATAATTACTAATTTCCAATGCTCTTTCTTACTTTTGTGAAAACAATTGCCACGATTATTCTTATAAAGGAAATAACCTTTTGATGTCTTTTTATTAGAACCATTACCTACAAATTTTACTTTCATAGACATAGACCTTGGTATACTCTAACATATCTTAATAAAATCGATTAAAAACAAATCTTGCAGACCTCACGAAACTATATTTTGAAATGTTATTATTAATGTAGTTATTTAAACATTTTTCGATCTATTGGGTACCTAAAGCACAACGGAAATCTATATTGACGCTTTGGAATATACATATTATATCATCAGCCATTTTACATCCCCACTGCAGGGTCTCAGGCCTTCCTTATGGATGGTTAAGGAGGATGGGCCATGACCCTCCACGCTGGCCCAATGCGGATTGGAGGGTATTAACGACTGCAAATGCAGCCGGGACCAACGGCTTAACGTGCCTTCCGAAGCACGGAGTAGCTCGAGATAATAATTTTTTGGTCTTGTGAAAGTTACTCAACGCCAACGATCGCGGGCCGCGGCGCTTATCCACTATGCCATCGAGCTACTCAATATATATGAATATATGACGGAGCCATTTATATATTGAACCCGCAGCTCTACACTGTATCAGAAGCCACGATTGATCGGTCAAAATTAATTTTTCCTAATCAAGATCAAGATCAACTGTCAGCATAATCCAGGCTTTTTTTGGACAGATTAATCGAGGCTTCACTAGAGATAGAGCCGCCGTCGCTGCATACCGCCGTGAAAACAAATCATTACTTTCTTGGCACCCGCTTGTTGCTACAAGATTATTTTGATTTTACCGTTATCATTTTTGTTAACAGATGGGACCCCAAACGGCGGATCACCCCGACGGAGGCGTCCAGGCACGAATTCGTGACGGGTTGTGTGGCCAGCGGGGGCGCCCTCGCACTACCCAGACTTGCGCCGCCGAGACCTGCGCGCGCGCTGCTGCACTCACAGTCTGCGGGTGACGTGGCCGCCATGCTGGGCCGAGCGTGACCACGCATCTGAGCCCGGCCCGGCTCCGGAGGGCTGGCCTAAATCGATAGTTCCACACTGCTGGCACGTGACTACTTAATTATCTAGCAATGACTCTAGCTATAGGATAGGACACGTTAACTATGTTATGGCGATATTCCGTTTCGTTTTACAACTTTCGCATGTACTTCGATAACGAAAAAAGGGGATAAACAATGATGTGTGGATTTGATACAATATTATTAATTTACTCCTTTTTCCTAATATCCACAAAAGATATATCAAAGTAGTAAAAGAAACGCATTATCGCCATGACATGGCTAAGCTATATGTATTTTAATGCTAGAGTCAAGGCTAGAGATTTAGCGGTTGCACCCAAGGTACCATTAACCATTTCAGTTCACTTATTGAAGTTCTCATCAGAAGTAGATGTAAACTTTTATCAAGATTAAGATTTTTTGTACACGTGCCATCACATAATGCATGAGCAGAGCTTGAGATCTGAGGCCGTCTTGTGTTAAGATTATGCGGCTTACAGCTGTTATTGTATATGTTGATAGATTTTGTTTTCGATGCGAATAGTAGGGTAGCACTTATAAAAAAAATCTCTGCTCTACATCTTTGACATAAGCTTCTTAGTTTTAACGCATAATATGCGTTAGAGCAAATATTTACATTTTATTTAAAGGAACCATTATATAAAAATATTTTTTAGCAATAAATAGGTAGTGTAATTTTCTTTCTCAATCTCAATTTTACCAAATCAATGTTATATGTATATCATTGCCGTTGTCTTTACTCATTTTATTGTATCAGTTTAGATAATTGTATTATTAAAGGAACGTCTTATACAACTTTTTCTTTAAAAATCTCAAGTGATATTAATGAAAATCTATGGTCAGCAAATGATTTGTTTTTGAATTTTAAATAGAGCGACGTTACGCGTTAGATAATAAATATAATAAAAAAGCACATGGAGTCATTTAAACATAATTTCATTAATCATAGTTGTTTGCCAAATTATTTATAAACTCAAAAATTATATCTGGCACAAGTTAAGTGCCAAATTGAGAGAGTTATAGTTAAATCTAGTGTGCGATGCTATTACTTTTTTTTTAATTTGATTTACAACGAAATATCATAGTGTTATTATCGACTGACTTAAAGTACAAGGAGGTATACGTCTCATCGACCTCATATCACGGCTCTACTTAAAAAAACTAGACCAAAAACTTATATAATATACACTTTAGTAACGTATGAATACGCTACGATCTCGTATATAGATCTCATAAATTAAATGTTACGTATTATTACTAGTATTGACGTCTGTGCATTTTGTTGTAGTTTGTTGCGTGATTACGCAGAAAATGTGAAAAAAATATTATATAGATAGCGTATAATGTACCTACAAGGTCGTGTTGTGATGTCATTTTGTTCATAGAGTCATTGTTTCTCAAAGTATTTAAAATGACTTAGAGTCGTGAAGGCAGAAGAGTGCATTTTGTGTTTAAATCTTTGGAAAATTGAAAATATAACAGTACAGAATGTGAAGAAGATCGGTATGTGGACGCGTTCGCGTTCTGTGTCCACTGAGGTAATTAGCGACCCAGGTTTTCGAAAATTTAATGGAATAGGCATCTTCTATCTAATAAATTATGCTACGTCTGGAAGGGAAGAATTCAGGCGTGATTTCAAAATTTTTAACTATTTGTGATACTCATTACCAACGAGTAATGTTACCGCTTTACTGTGGAGGTTCCACAATCTCGCACCAAGGAATTCGTTACCGGACTCGCTGTTTCTGGACAAATACAATCTGGTACTCTTCAAGACAAGAGTGAATCGGTTTCTTCTAGGCAAGCACGCTCCATCTTAGATCAGGTGATCTGTGGTCAAGTATTTGCCTATCTAGAATAAAAAAAAAAAACGAAACGCGTCTAATGCGGTTGTAGTTTAGGACAGAGATGAAGCAGACATTTGTCTGTTGCGCACACTTCGCCCACGCGACTCTCAGTCATTTGTTGATAACTTGTTAGTGTAAGTATATTTTTTTAGTTTGGTCTTTTAAATATTTGCTAAATAATCATTGCCAATTTATTTTAAATATTAATTGTGATTATCAAATGACAAATAGACTGTGTTAAAATAATATTACATTTGTAGCGACTAAAATCTATTATCCATTGTGTATTTAAAATATTATTGTTCGTAGAACGAAACAATCGTATTCGAAGTTGATAGAAACAAAAATCATTAACGACTGACGTAATTTATATTCTATAAAGTAGATTTTTCAATGTGGTTTTTGTTTGGTTAAAGGTCTTCATCCACTATACCGGATCGCATATATTGATCGCAACTATCCCATCACAAATACAAACATCCCTCGGCGCTTATTACAGTTTTTGTACGTTTTTGAAATCTTTTAACTTAAAAAACATTGGCAACGCAGGATTAAGTTAGGCAGTGAAAAAATATAATTTTCTTACACACTTGAAAAAGTTCTTTATCTTTCAATGTGATCTTTAGGAAATAACAAACAGCGGAAAATTTCAGTTGCCAAGATTTTCTTTTCATCATCTTCAAGCAACTTGCTGTGAGTTTTTTGAACAAGGCATTTTGAATAAAGAATTAAGATATAAAAATTATAAATAATAATTAGATATGTTTATTATGAAAATTGCAGTTTAAGAGGAGCATTTCATTTCGGTAACAAAAGAAATCTCCACTGGCATACATATGCGAGAACATTGTGAATCATTTATTGGGTTCACAATATACCCTTTATCTGTGATTTACAGTAACAAATATATTTATGTATTAATGAAAAAAAACTGTTAACTGTTTATAAAAAGGTGGCGGTTTTCATGAGTATTTTATGTTTGAGCGACACCTTGTTAGTTCAGTATATTAGATTGACATTCTTAATATAACATATATCAATAATGCTTGAAAAACTTGATAAAATATTTATTGTAAAACTTGCTGTAAATGTGTGCTACTGCTCGATACTAACGCATACTAAGTTTCGCACGTGATAATGATAATCAAAATAATTCACTAACCTAAATAATTTACTTGCGGTGAAAAACGCTATCCAAAATATGCGATTGCGATTTTATAACGGTCTAGTGGACAAAGCCCTTTATACGTAGATATTAAAATAGCTATTAGTAAAATCGGGTATCTAGAATAAAATGTTTTAGCGGTCACGATGTGTAGAGTTTTGTAAAGTTATTTAAATATAAGATGTTTTAAGCTTTAAGAGTTTCCAGTTCATGTCTACGTTAGAAATATATAGTGTTAGGTCTTTTTAGACACCTATAATAGGGATCGCCCTGACTTTTCTCGGACCAATCTTTGGTCATGGATGTGAAATATTTATCGTCTCGCTTAGTGTAAATGTCTTTTGCAAATGTATTTAATGTAAAAACAAATAATTACATTTTTATTTATTTTTTAATACGTAAGTCAGTATTAAAGATTTTGAAGTTGATTTGATGGAGGCTAAATTAATGTTTGTTAGAATGAATATTGATTGTTTAGTTAGTCATCTTAAGTGATACTTAGATTTAGTTGGTAAGAGAAAGCCATCAAAAGATCTCCTTTAGTTGTAAGTTGTTAGATATGAGTCTTATTACATAGGCTTACTGACAGAAAAATTCTATAATACCAATAGACCTCTTTACTCCAGAATTTCGCCTTTGAAAATTGATAGCTAACTGAACGTAGTCAAAGCTAAAAATTGTAATGAGGTAATTATAAGATTACTGACCTGACGGAATTCAGTATGACCTACGCCGGAATATTATGTCACTCAGTATTATGGATATTTTCTAGTCTGAAGCTTATTATGATATGTGTAAATAGTCTCGATATCAGTACTTACTTATATGTTATATTTAGATAATGCCAAACTGTGAATTGACTAAAGATTTATAAGTTGTGTTAATTTTACGTTAAGAGTTTGTGTATTTCATGACACATAGCTAGAGGGTCTACGGTGGTCCATGTATTTATATTAACGACAAGTAAGATGTTTGTTTCCATTGAATGATATTAAAGTTCTTCCACAAGCAACATGGTAGTTTTATTTTTAATTAAAATACATTACTTTTCTTTTAATTTCGAGAGGGTTCTTAAGGTTCATAGAGTTCTATGCGCATGTTACTCGATAGGGCTCTTTACTCGCATCACATTACTTATGTATTTAACTAATATCACCCACTTATATCACTAATATAAAATGTGAATGAACTAAAAAAGCTTGTTAATGTTTTCTCTCTTATTTTACAGCGCATATTTCACTTCACGATTTATAATCGGAGAGTCTAATCGCTGTTTGAAAGTTAGGGTCCTATCCCAATAACGGATGGTTGTGGGTACTCGACCGCCTGATCTCATTTATTAGTGCATTAGGTCCAATTTATCGGACATTGTGATCGTAAGGACATAGTATAAATGTTTATATTATACTAGGTTTCCGTCATTGGCTTCACCCGCGTGGTTCTCAGGGAACAGTCGATTTGGATATCGATTCATAACATGACACGAATAAAAAAGGTATCAAATTACAATGATGAACTGAATCGTAATCAATCGTAACTGGTAACGTTTTAATTCAATATACGAACTTCCACTTTAATTTTCATACCTTTATTTGCTGTTTGTGATGATGTCACTTCCCGTAGGCAAAATAATGTTTAAATCGGAGCCAATTCTATGCAAACGAAGAATCAAATCTTTCCTCTTTTTAAAATTAGTATAGACGACTGTCCAGTCAGAGCATCAGAGTGCATTAACTGTCCATACGTATCGCGTGACAAGTTCAACCACCAACTTTACCAAAAAATAGACAAAATTCTAATCAACTTCTTTAGTTATCAACTAAATTTTAACTTGCAACTTATTACTTAAAACTGTGTTTAAATATTTTAAAATAAAAATACTGCAGTAGCCACCTACTTATCAATTTAATACGTGTTTAAAGTCACCAGTATTAAATCTAATATTCACTA